ACAATATGCTGTATGCAGTATCTATTGTTTTTGTCAAAATCGCTCAAGGTCATTAAATTTGGTTGGGATTCATCGATAGACAGCAATATTCAAACCTTGTCTCTGATTTCCAGGCAGATGTAAGTCAGGACTGAGACTAGACCAGGAACACTCAGCACCTCTTGGAAAGCCTTTCTGGTGCGTCTTTGGTATTAACATTTGTGTAATTATCCCAATTACTACTAAGCTATATGGAATTGTTTTAAGATGGTCATACCAAGGATCATTTTGCTATTTGAGTTTGAATTTTAAGACCCCTTGAAGTATAAAAAAATATATTGTTTATTTGGTCTTACTGCAATAAGCCCATACAAACACATTGTATAACAGAGTCACTACATTGAACAATAGATAGTCCCCCCCAAAAAATCTAAAGTAAGTTTGTTCTGAAGTGTCTGTCCTATATCTGAGAGATATAAGAAAGATCAGGAAACATTAGTATTTTTTTGACATGTACTTAACCCCTTATTTTTGTCACTAAACAGTCTCCGTATACTGTATACTTCCACGCATATTTTCAACTGGTCGCAGATAGCTAATTAGCACAGGTAGTCCACTCTGTCTTCCATATTTTTTCCGTAAACAAGCGCTGTAACACGGAAATATGGCCTTTTTATTATTATTATTACTATAATAATAATAATAATAATAATAATAATAATTATTATTATTATTATTATTGTTATTATTATTACTATTATTGTTATTGTCATTTTTATTGTTATTGTTATTGTTATTTTTATTGTTATTTTAATTTTAATTTTATTATTATTATTATTATTATTATTATTGTTTTATTATTATTAATATTATTATATTATATTATTATTATTAATTTATTATTTTATTATTATTATTATTATTATTTATATTATTATTATTGTTATTATTATTATTATTATTATTATTATTATTATTATTATTATTATTATTATTATTATTTCTTGCTGATGTAAATGATAGGTCCTTATGCTTCCAAACCCATACCGCAAGCGATGCGTGTTAATGTTCAGACCAAACCTTGGGTTTCTTAACAAAACTCCCCCCTACAGAAGACTCCCGAGTGGCGCAGTGGTCTAAGGTGCCGCATCGCAGCGCTAACTGTGCCACTAGAGATCCTGGTTCGAATCCAGGCTCTGTCGCAGCCGGCCGCGACCGGGAGACTCATGGGCGGCGCACAATTGGCCCAGCGTCGTCCAGGGTAGGGGAGGGAATGGCCGGCAGGGATGTAGCTCAGTTGATAGAGCATGGCGTTTGCAACGCCAGGGTTGTGGGTTCGATTCCCACGGGGGGCCAGTATAAAAATAATAATATATATATATATATATGTATTCACTAACTGTAAGTCGCTCTGGATAAGAGCGTCTGCTAAATGACTAAAATGTAAATGTAAGACGCTTTCGTCCAATTACTCTTATGTTTAATGTAATGATCAAGGGCTACATGTAGGCTAGCTAGAGTGCACATGCCAAGACCAGAGTGGGCACATTTGCTATTTAACGCAACAGTTTTTGTGACAAAACTATCAGTAGATTTGAAAATGCAATGGAAAGGCATTGTATTTGTGTTTATTATGGATCCTCATTAGTTACTCTTCCTGGGGTCCAGCAAAATTAAGGCAGTTATACATTTTATTTATTTATTACAATACATTCACAACAGATTTCACAACATATAAATGTGTGCCCTCAGGCCTCTACTCTACTAACACATATCCACAACACAAAATCCATGTGTACGTGTGTGTGTATGCATGTGTCTGTGTCTATGTTTGTGTTGCTTCACTGTCCCTGCTGGTCCATAGGGTGTATTTGTATCTATTTTTAAAATCTAATTTTACTGCTTGCATGAGTTACTTGATGTGGAATAGAGTTCCATGTAGTCATGGCTCTATGTAGTACTGTGCGTCTCCCATAATCTGTTCTGGACTTGGGGACAGTGAAGAGACCTCTGGTGGCATGTCTTGTGGGGTATGCATGGGTGTCTGAGCTGTGTGCCAGTAGTTCAAACAGACAGCTCGGTGCATTCAACATGTCAATACCTCTCACAAATAGTAGTGATGAAGTCAATCTCTCCTCCACTTTGAGCCAGGAGAGATTGACATGCATATTATTATTGTTTGCTCTCTGTGTACATCCAAGGGCCAGCCGTACTCCCCTGTTCTGAGCCAATTGCAATTTTCCTAAGTCCCTCTTTGTGGCACCTGACCACACGACTGAACAGTAGTCCAGGTGCCACAAAACTAGAGCCTGTAGGACCTGCCTTGTTGATAGTGCTGTTAAGAATGCAGAACAACGCTTTATTGTGGGCAGACTTCTCCCCATCCTAGCTACTGTTGTATCAATATGTTTTGACCATGATAGTTTACAATCCAGGCTTACACCAATCAGTTTAGTCTCCTCAATTTGCTCAATTACCACATTATTCATTACAAGATTTAGTTGAGGTTTTGGGTTTAGTGAATGATTTGTCCCAAATACAATGCTTTTAGTTATTTTTAAAAAAATATTTAGGACTAATTTATTACTTGCCACCCATTCTGAAACTAACTGCAGCTCTTTGTTAAGTGTTGCAGTCATTTCAGTCGCTGTGGTAGCTGACGTGTATAGTGTTGAGTCATCCACATACATAGTGGCATGTCATTAGTAAAGATTGAAATAAGTAATGGGCCTAGACAGCTGCCCTGGGGAATTCCTGAACCTACCTGGATTTTGTTGGAGAGGCTTCCTTTAAAGAACACCCTCTGTGTTCTGTTAGACAGGTAACTCCTTATCCACAATATAGCAGGGGGTATAAAGCCATAACACATACGTTTTTCCAGCAACAAGCTATGATCGATAATGTCAAAAGCCACACAATCTGCTTTTTCTCCACAGCAAGTCAGTTTGGTGGAAACACACCACTAGTGGGAAAATGTTCATATTTTCTTTATGTGGATTTTAAAATATTTGCATGAAAATCTGTCGCCAATTGGATGGAAACCTTGCTAATGATGGTGAAAACTTGGGGAAATTTTGCAGGTTAGTGTCTTCCGTCATGAAGCTTGTTCTGGAAGCAGCTCTATGAGTGGTTATTAGCTGACACAAGCACAAAGTCATAAAATCTGATTTTAAACCTAACCCGTAACCTTAACCCTAATCTTAACCACACTGCTAACCTTCATGCCTAACCCTAACCTTAAATTAAGACCAAAAAGCGGATTTTTGTTTTCATGAATTTTTACAATATAGCCAATTTTGAGTTTGCAGCTGGCCCATCTAGCAGAAATTGCTCAGTTCTGCCTCAAGTAGAAGACTCATCCTAATAAACAAAAACGTGCAAAAATGTTGGGCTAAAGGGATAGTGTCATGATTTTGGCAATGAAGCCCTTAATATACCTCCCCAGAATCAGAATGCTAGCTGCTCCTGTACACTTATAGTCATTGTGCTAACGCTAGTTAGCATTGGCTTGCGAAACTACCTCTAACTTCCTTCATACTGGACCCAGAGATATAAAAATGGTGTCCACGAGTTCATCTGACTCCGGGGAAGTAGACAAAATCCTAAACTATCCATTTAAGTGGGTTAAAGTATTCCTACAAGTGAGAGAAAAATGACCTGGGACATGTCACAATGCAGATTTTTGTATTCACATAAAGAAATCTGATTTATAGAATTTTCCATGTAGTTTATATTAAAGGACACTTCATTTAATATAACATACTTTTAAAATGCAATATTGGTGCACAATTGTTACTTAAAATATCAAAGGGACTCAAAAGGCACTCTATTCGTGGAATGACCCTGCTACTGGGTTAGCCAGTTTGAGCAGCGCTTTAGGTGGCCAGTGATGGGCCGAAGTCAGAGTTGATGTTTCAGTAGTAAGTGTATTTGCTGCCATATGAATTAATCTTGTAAGTGTATTTGCAGCCATATGAATGAATATTGTAAGTGTATTTGCAGCCATATGAATGAATATTGTAAATGTATTTGCAACCTTATGAATGAATATTGTAAGTGTATTTGCAGCCATATGAATTAATCTTGTGAGTGTATTTGCAGCCATATGAATGAATATTGTAAGTGTATTTGCAGCCATATGAATGAATATTGTAAATGTATTTGCAGCCATATGAATGAATATTGTAAGTGTATTTGCAGCCATATGAATTAATCTTGTGAGTGTATTTGCAGCCATATGAATTAATCTTGTGAGTGTATTTGCAGCCATATGAATGAATATTGTAAGTGTATTTGCAGCCATATGAAAGAATATTGTAAGTGTATTTGCAGCCATATGAATGAATATTGTAAGTGTATTTACTGCTATATGAATGAATATTGTAAGTGTATTTGCAGCCATATGAATTAATCTTGTAAGTGTATTTGCAGCCATATGAATTAATCTTGTAAGTGTATTTACTGCTATATGAATGACTTACAAGTTCCATGTAGAACATATAATAATCTTGTTAAATTCTTCTATATCTTTTCCATCTGGTTGGAAATCGTTGTATTGTGTTGTGTGTCTTGGGGATCTGTAAAGAACCTGGTGTCTTAGGAAGAGAGGAAGTTAGTTACCATACCTTACCTTGCTGTACCAGTATAGTCAGCCCTTCCTCTCTGGAACACGGTTACATGGCTGGGACACGGTTACAGGACTGGGACACGGTTACAGGGTTGGGACACGGTTACAGGACTGGGACACGGTTACAGGGCTGGGACACGGTTACAGGACTGGGACACGGTTACAGGACTGGGACACGGTTACAGGGTTGGGACACGGTTACAGGGCTGGGACACGGTTACAGGGTTGGGACACGGTTACAGGACTGGGACACGGTTACAGGACTGGGACACGGTTACAGGGTTGGGACACGGTTACAGGACTGGGACACGGTTACAGGGTTGGGACACGGTTACAGGACTGGGACACGGTTACAGGACTGGAACACGGTTACAGGGCTGGGACACGGTTACAGGACTGGGTCACGGTTACAGGACTGGGACACGGTTACAGGACTGGGACACGGTGACAGGGCTGGGACACGGTTACAGGACTGGGACACGGTTACAGGACTGGGACACGGTTACAGGACTGGGACACGGTTACAGGACTGGGACACGGTTACAGGACTGGGACACGGTTACAGGACTGGGACACGGTTACAGGACAGGGACAAGGTTACAGGACTGGGACACGGTTACAGGACTGGGACACGGTTACAGGGCTGGGACACGGTTACAGGACTGGGACAAGGTTACAGGACTGGGACGCAGTTACAGGACTGGGACACGGTTACAGGACTGGGACACGGTTACAGGGCTGGGACAAGGTTACAGGGCTGGGACAAGGTTACAGGACTGGGACACGGTTACATGACTGGGACACGGTTACAGGACTGGGACACGGTTACAGGACTGGGACACGGTTACAGGACTGGGACACGGTTACAGGACTGGGACACGGTTACAGGGCTGGGACAAGGTTACAGGACAGGGACAAGGTTACAGGACTGGGACACGGTTACATGACTGGGACACGGTTACATGACTGGGACGCGGTTACATGACTAGGACACGGTTACAGGACTGGGACACGGTTACAGGACTGGGACACGGTTACATGACTGGGACACGGTTACAGGACTGGGACACGGTTACAGGACTGGGACACAGTTACAGGACTGGGGCACGGTTACAGGACTGGGACACGGTTACATGGCTGGGACACAGTTACATGACTAGGACACGGTTACAGAACTGGGACACGGTTCCAGGACTGGGACACGGTTACAGGACTGGGACACGGTTACAGGACTGGGACACGGTTACAGGACTGGGACGCGGTTACAGGGCTGGGACACAGTTACATGACTGGGACACGGTTACAGGAATGGGACACGGTTACAGGACTGGGACACGGTTACAGGACTGGGACACGGTTACAGGACTGGGACACGGTTACATGGCTGGGACATGGTTACATGACTAGGACACGGTTACATGGCTGGGACACGGTTACAGGACTGGGACGCGGTTACAGGACTGGGACACGGTTACAGGACTGGGACACGGTTACAGGACTGGGACACGGTTACAGGGCTGGGACAATGTTGCAGGACAGGGACAAGGTTACAGGACTGGGACACGGTTACATGACTGGGACACGGTTACAGGACTGGGACACGGTTACAGGACTGGGACACGGTTACAGGACTGGGACACGGTTACAGGGCTGGGACAAGGTTACAGGACAGGGACAAGGTTACAGGACTGGGACACGGTTACAGGGCTGGGACAAGGTTACAGGACTGGGACACGGTTACATGACTGGGACACGGTTACAGGACTGGGTTACGGTTACATGACTGGGACACGGTTACAGGACTGGGACACGGTTATAGGACTGGGACACGGTTACAGGACTGGGACACGGTTACAGGGTTGGGACACGGTTACATGGCTGGGACACAGTTACATGACTAGGACACGGTTACAGAACTGGGACACAGTTACAGAACTGGGACATGGTTACAGGACTGGGACACGGTTACAGGACTGGGACACGGTTACAGGACTGGGACACGGTTACAGGACTGGGACGCGGTTACAGGGCTGGGACACGGTTACATGACTGGGACACGGTTACAGGACTGGGACACGGTTACAGGACTGGGACACGGTTACAGGACTGGGACACGGTTACATTGCTGGGACACGGTTACATGACTAGGACACGGTTACATGGCTGGGACACGGTTACAGGACTGGGACGCGGTTACAGGACTGGGACGCACTTACAGGGTTGGAACACACTTACAGGGCTGGGACACGGTTACATGACTAGGACACGGTTACAGAACTGGGACACAGTTACAGAACTGGGACATGGTTACAGGACTGGGACACGGTTACAGGACTGGGACACGGTTACAGGACTGGGACACGGTTACAGGACTGGACGCGGTTACAGGGCTGGGGAACACGGTTACAGGACTGGGACACGGTTACAGGACTGGGACACGGTTACAGGACTGGGACACACGGTTACAGGACTGGGACACGGTTACATGACTAGGACACGGTTACATGCTGGGACGACAGGTTTACAGGACTGGGACACGGTTACAGGACTGGGACACGGTTACAGGACTGGGACACGGTTACAGGACTGGGACACGGTTACAGGACTGGGAACACGTTACAGGACTGGGACACGGTTACAGGACTGGGACACGGTTACAGGGCTGGGACACGGTTACAGGACTGGGACACGGTTACAGGACTGGGAAGGTTACAGACGGGACGGGACAAAGGTTACAGGACTGGGACACGTTACAGGATTGGACACTTACAGGCTGGGACACGGTTACAGGACTGGGACACGGTTACAGGACTGGGGACAACGGTTACAGGACTGGGACACGGTTACAGGACTGGGACACGGTTACAGGCTGGGACACGGTTACAGACTGGGACACGGTTACAGGGCTGGGACACGGTTACAGGACTGGGACACGGTTACAGGACTGGGACACGGTTACAGGACTGGGACACGGTTACAGGACTGGGACACGGTTACAGGACTGGGACACGGTTACAGGACTGGGAAGCACGGTTACAGGACTGGGACACGGTTACAGGCTGGGACACGGTTACAGGACTGGACACGGTTACAGGACTGGGACACGGTTACAGGACTGGGAGACGGTTACAGGACTGGGACACGGTTACAGGGCTGGGACACGGTTACAGGACTGGGACACGGTTACAGGGCTGGGACACGGTTACAGGACTGGGACACGGTTACAGGACTGGGACACGGTTACAGGACTGGGACACGGTTACAGGACTGGGACACAGTTACAGGACTGGGACACGGTTACAGGACTGGGACACAGTTACAGGACTGGGACACGGTTACAGGACTGAGACACGGTTACAGGGCTGGGACACAGTTACAGGGCTGGGACACGGTTACAGGACTGGGACACGGTTACAGGACTGGGACACGGTTACAGGACTGGGACACTGTTACAGGACATAAGAATAACCCATAGAAAATCAAAAGCATGGTCTGACTTAATGGTGGAGCTAAAAGCCTGCTGATGGGTTTGTGGCGAACGGATGAATAATACATATAACAAAACATTAGGACACACATCTATTTATAATGACAGGGCCCTCTCTGACAGGAGAGCCATTTAAGGTGTCACACTCCATATGTATAATTCACACTGTCAGAGGGCTCCAAAGAGGCCACCACCTCTGGAATCTGGCTCTCTCCACTCAAATTGAAGAACAGATATATTAGTAAGGCTTTTAACTGTGACAGCCATCGGCATTGCATGTGAGTGTATGTGTGAGTTTGTGACAACTCCCTGGGGAGTTGACACTGTCACTGGAAGGTTTCCACAACCTACTACCGGACTGTTTTCTGGGCCCTTGGAGTTTCCTGTGCCAGTGAACTCGGGACAGACACAGCTGTAGGCTATTTGCGAAAAGGGATAAGAAGTAATCAGGTAGGCCCTATTTTTTTATTTTTTTTTATTTAACCTTTATGTAATTAGGCAAGTCAGTTAAGAACAAATTCTTATTTACAATGACGGCCTACCCCGGCCAAACCCGGACGATGCTGGGCCAATTGTGTGCCGCCCAATGGGACTCCCGATCACGGCCGGATTGTGATACAGCCTGGAATCGGACCAGGGTCTGTAGTGACGCATCTAGGACTGAGATGCAGTGCCTTAGACTGGATAAGAGCATGACCGTTTTCCCTTTCACACTGAGTGGTTATCGAAAGGGAGAGAGCTGGAAATATCTTTCTAGTACATTGAGGAACTATTGTCATTAACAATGGATGTAAAGACAGACTTTGTTTGCTTGCTGTTTGAGGTGAAGAAAACATTACTTTGAGAAGCTCCGCAGCTCGTTAGTGGTGGTGCGTTAAGCCAATCAGAAATACTATCAGATCCCCAAATGGGCACATTTATATGCCTATATTTGCACGCAGGCCAGGTAGCCTGTAGGCCTACTTCTATGCGTAATCAGGCCAGGTAGCCTATAGGCCTATATACTTCTATGCGTAATCAGGTGCGCGTCCTTTACTCAACATTGACAGGAGCGCTACAAACAAAAAACTCATAAATGTAATGAAATAAACCAAAATGTGTTTCTCACAAGTGTAGCCTAGGTTGTGCACTTTCAGACAATGAGAACAGTAAAAGACTGGAATAATAATATATTGAATGCGTTGACAGACATTACCGTAACCAAACAAACATTGTAGATTAGAAATTGTAGGAATTAACGGTACATGTACTACTGGTGATATATGTACTGGTGAATCGATAGACACTAACAATCAAACGCAAACAATTCATACAATGAAGTTATGAAACAATGAATGTGCAGAAATTGGCGGGAGAGAGCACATTCTGGAGAGAGAAGTGCATTGTGCATTTTAGCCACACTCCTTCTGGAATGGATTAGTTCACTGAGATGGGCGCGAATAAGACAGGTGTCTCGTGTGCCGTAAAAATAACATATATATATTTGTGGTCCTCTGTAGCTCAGCTGGTAGAGCACGGCGCTTGCAACACCAAGGTAGTGGGTTTGATCCCCGGGACCACCCATACAAAAATGTATGCACGCATGACTGTAAGTCGCTTTGGATAAAAGCGTCTGCTAAATGGCATATTATTATTATTATTATTTGTGCTACTGCTCAACAAAAATAAATCTCAGTCGACCAACAGCCTATCCACCAGACAATCGACCAGTCGACTAATTGGGGTCAGCTCTACATCCTCTCCACCCTCTCAGGGCTGGGCGTCTCAGGCTCTGCACACTTGGATTGCATCCTACCTGGCAAGCTGCTCCTACCAGGTGACGTGGACAGGATCTGTGTCTGCACCACATCCTCTCACTACTGGTGTCCCCCAGGGCTCTGTTCTAGGCCCTCTCCTCTTGTCTCTATACACCAAGTCACTCGGCTTCATCATATCCTCACATGGTCTCTCCTATCATTGCTATGTGGATGACACTCAACTACTTTCCTCCTTTCCCCACTTCTGACACCCAGGTGGCGACACGCATCTCTGCCTAACTGGCAGATATCTCAGCTTGAATGTCGGTCCACCACCTCAAGCTCAACCTCAACAAGACGGAGCTGCTCTTCCTCCTTCCCGCTCGAAGACCTCTCCATCGTGGTTGACATCTCCATGGTGCCCCCCTCCCAGATTGCAAAGAACATTGGCGTGACCCTGGACAACACCCTGTCGCTCTCTGCAAACATCAAAGCAATGACTCGCTCCTGCAGGTTCATGCTCTACAACACCCGTAGAGTACAGCCTTTCCTCACACAGGAAGCGGCACAGGTCCTAATCCAGGCACTTGTCATTTCCTGTCTGGACTACTGCAACTTGCTGTTGGCTGGGCTCAACCGCTTGTGCCATCAAACCCCTGCAATGTATCCAGAACATTGCATCCCGCCTGGTGTTCAACCTTCCCAAGTTCTCCCATGTCACCCTGCTCCTTCGCACACTCCACTGGCTTCCAGTCGAAGCCTCGCATCCCTTACAACACCATGGTACTTGCCTACAGAGCAGCAAGAGGAACTGCCCTTCCCTACCTTCAGGCTATGTTCAAACCCTACACCCCAACCCGAGCACTTCGTTCTGCCACCTCTGGTCTCTTGGTCCTCCCACCCCTGTGGGAGGGGAGCTTCTGCCTAGCCCAGTCCAAGCTCTTCTCTGTTCTTCCCCCTGAAGCTAGGACAGCAGAGTCCCTTCCCATCTTCTGAAAACATCTGAAACCCTTTAAACCTTTAAAGCTTCATCTGTCTTCACCCGAGGTTGGCGCCTGTAACTGATAGTTTTAGTCTACATTAGGCATAAGCTATTACTGCAAAGACATTCAGTTGAAGTCGGAAGTTTACATACACCTTAGCCAAATACATTTCACAATTCCTGACATTTAATCCTAGTAAAAATGTCCCTGTCTTAGGTCAGTTAGGGTCACCACTTTATTTGAAATGTCAAAATAATAGTAGAGAGAATTATTTATTTCAGCTTTTATTTCTTTCATCACATTCCCAGTGGGTCAGAAGTTTACATACACTCAATTAGTATTTGGTAGCATTGCCTTTAAATTGTTTAACTTGGGTCAAACGTTTCAGGTATCCTTCCACAAGCTTCCCACAATAATTTGGGTGAATTTTGGCCCATTCCTCCTGACAGAGCTGGTGTAACTGAGTCAGGTTTGTAGGCCTCCTTGCTCGCACACGCTTTTTCAGTTCTTCACACACATTTTCTATAGGATTGAGGTCAGGGGCTTTGTGATGGCCACTCCAATACCTTGACTTTGTTGTCCTTAAGCCATTTTGCGACAACTTTGGGAGTATGCTTGGGGTCATTGTCCATTTGGAAGACCCATTTGCGACCAAGCTTTAACTTCCTGACTGATGTCTTGAGATGTTTCTTCAATATATCCACATACTTTTCCTTCCTCATGATGCCATCTATTTTGTGAAGTGCACCAGTCCCTCCTGCAGCAATGCACCTTCAGGCGTTTGGAAATTGATCCCAAGGATAAGCCCGACTTGTGGAGGTCTACAATTCTTTTTCTGAGGTCTTGGCTGATTTCTTTTGATTTTCCCATAATGTCAAGCAAAGAGGCACTGAGTTTGAAGGTAGGCCTTGAAATACAGGTACACCTCCAATTGACTCAATTGATGTCAATTAGCCTATCGAAAGCTTCTAAAGCCATGACATCATTTTCTGGAATTTTCCAAGCTGTTTAAAAGGCACAGTCAACTTAGTGTATGTAAACTTCTGACCCACTGGAATTGTGATACAGTGAATTATAAGTGAAATAATCTGTCTGTAAACAATTGTTGGAAAAAATGTATTGTGTCATGCACAAAGTAGATGTCCTAAACGACTTGCCAAAACTCTAGTTTGTTAACGAGAAATTTGTGGAGTGGTTGAAAAACGAGTTTTAATGACTCCAACCTAAGTGTATGTAAACTTCCGACTTCAACTGTACTGTATGTTAGAGTCATTTTTACAGGAGGCTTCCATTTACAGTTAATAACAGTATTTTTCTGTATTTTACCCATAATGCAGTGTAATCTACAGCATTAATGCTGTGCAACACATTTACGGTATTTTACTCTACAGTCTACAGTGTTTTTTGCAGTTCAAATTTGAGAAAAGTCTTACAGTGCACGAGGTTAAGCCTAAGCATGTCACTACGTTTGAGTTCCAAATTGCACCTTAGTCCCTTTGTAGTGCACGTCTTTACATGCTACCTCTATGGGGTCAAAAGTAGTGCAGTACACAGGGGATAGGGTGCCATTTGGAACGCATCGCGGAATGCACCGACACTCAAACCACAGCCATAGACAAAATTGGACACTCATGATACCACTAACAGCAGTCTCTCTAGACATCAGGGTTGCCTCAATGTTTCCGGGCTTAGCATGTCTGTATGTAATAGAAGGTCAGTTTGGTATAGAATAACTACGTCACTGCCTGATCCCCTTGAATAAAAATACTAAATAGTATCTAGCAAGATGGAGATCACAGAGGTTATTTTTAATGAGAGCGTTTCGCTAGTGGCTAGTTTGCATCCAACTACCTTAACTTGAAACCACTGCGAAGGTTTCGCCTGCAAAACTTTTGTTTTCTAATCACAACGTTCTGGCACGTCTGCCTCTGGATTTCTTGGGAGTGTTTTCTGTCTGAAGGACCCATCCCGGAACAGTGTTTTTTTTTCTCCCATATCCAAGTTACCAAGAGAGTCCGTCATATCTACAGACCCGTAGTCGCCGTGCCTACGGTCAGGTTTACAACATAAACTGTAAAGAGTGTATAGATCCAACCACTAGATGTCGCTCTTGCTCCATTAAATTGACCCAGACCAAACCTCCCATTAGCATGCCCAGCCCCAGCTCTGTACCCCAGCTTCAGACCCGTTTTCCTGCGTTGATGTAGTTATAAACAGATGCATTTTCATATGCATGACTA